TTCCAGCTGTGAAAAGGTCAACATAGAGAGACCCAGGCATTTAGCCAGCCAGACATGCTGTGTGGCTGTCCGTCCCTCCATCTGTCCATCTGTCCATCTGTCAGTCTGTCGTGTGTCGTGCAGAGCTATTGCTGTTATGCTAGTTGCCTCACTTTCCAATGGCTAAAAGAAAAGAAAAGTGCGGCCTGAGAACCGATCAGGGCATTTCTCCCAGCCATCAAACGAGACTCGCTCCGCAGACGAGCTAATATTGACAAATTAAATGCAGTCTAATGTGTGTTTAATGAGTGCGCTCAGTTTATTGGTTTGGGTGTTTTCAGCTTCGTTTCTATAAACGAAAGCCCCCCACCGTGATTCATATATATGTTCATATACATACATATAAACATCTGTAGCTTTGACTGCTTCAAAAAAATTTCGCTTGCATCATTTTCACATGTTAATTAGTTTTGTTTTTTTTTTTTTTAGCATTAGTTGTTGACTTTTTGTTTCCCAAGCTGAAAACTATTTATCTAACGTCGACATATGGAAAATTGCCGTAAAGTAAAGAGTTTTACAAATATGTACAACTATTTGAGCAACTCTGAGGTGATAAAAAGAAAAATAGATCTGGAGTTCATTTCAAATATTATTCATATTAGTAAAAAAAAAAATCTCTAAAAATATTTTTTACGGGTAATACAATATATAGTTGTTTTTAAATCAATATTAGAAATATATTTTTTTTTTAATTTTATAAATTTTATATTAGTAAAATATAAATAATTTATCATTTTTAGAGAAATTTAATGCATAAATTAATTTTAGTAGTGATTTAAAAATAAAAATAAAAAAAATATAGATTAATAAATGTTTAATAAAGTATGCGCATAAAATAATCAGAAAAAAATGTATATAGCTATATTATAATTATTATTATTATAAATAGTACTTTAGTTTTTTATTATTTACATATATTTATTTTTAAATCTAAACGAAAATTATTGACCTATTTTAAAATCTATACTAACTTAAATAAATAAATAAATAATTTCAATTTAAATTGAACTGATTTAATATACAAATTAATTTTGAGCATTACATAAAAAACAAAAAAAATACAATAAAAATATAAATTCTATTATGCAAATTTATAATTTATGTATTCATAATTTTAGTATACATTTAATATGCAAATTAATCATTTTTGTATATATACAATCAATTTATTTTAAAACAAATATAAATAAATAAAAAATATAACCATACACAATATTGATTTATAGATTTTACTCATGTTTATATATAGACTGGTAATCAAAATCAACTTGGGATCCGGCTTAACAAAAGTGGTTTTACCGTCATATATACTAGTTCTCATATAACATATTATATTATATTCTTTTGTCTAGCAAATTTTTGAGTAAACACAGGTTTTTTTTGCCCTTTAAATAAATGCTTCTTAAATAAATATTTATTATATTATACTATATTTCTAATAAGTGTCATCTTTCATAATTTTAAAGTACATTCTTGAGTAATTTCTAAGCAGATGTTGACAAAGTTTCAACACTCAACGGGTGTTATTAGGAGAAAATCCCGCTGCAGCAATGCATCTGCTTGCAATTTGAGGCAACATATGTGCCTAGGCCTAGGCCTGGGCCCTGGAGCATAAAAAATATTAAGAAAACACAAAACTACATATGAGCAACGCATCAGAACCAACACAAACACACACACACATGTGTGTGAGTGTATGTGTATGTGTGTGTTAAAACTGGCAGCCAAAGGCAAGGCAATTCAAAAGTCATTGAGGCGCAAAAGTCAAGCATAAATATTTCAAATAATGTTTGTTGGCCCCGGCCAGAGCTCCACACAACGCCACCGGGCACTAGCAATAGCTCTGACTATGGCAATCGGCTATAGCACTAAGCATTGGGTCTCGGGTCTCGGGTCTGGGATCTGTTGTGTTCTCAGTGCTCAGTGCTCTGCGCTCAGCGCTCAGCGCTCTGGGCAGGCAACGTTGTGTGGCATAATTTGGTGAGAGTTCGAGTTCAACATCTGAAAAACAGCAACAACAACAACAACAATAGAAACAACAACACGAGCACATTAACTCGAAATAAGAACAACACACGAATCTCGGAGTGGAGAAGAGCGCAGAGGCGAGCATTCGTTTCGTTCGCTCACTGGAGGCAGCGCTGTAATAGTCGACGACGACGTCGGCGATGACCTCAGTTAAAAATAAATAATACTTTACATTGTTTGGAATTAGTTGCTGTTTTTGGTTAGAATATTGTTGCATCCATCTCCTTCTGTGTAGCTGTGTTGCTTGTTTAGGTTGTAAGTTCAGGGTGGCGCTCAGTGTCGCCTCTCTCGTTGATGACGATCACAACAACAGCAACAGCAACAACAAGAACAACAACGATGTCGACAACGACTTCGACTATGGCATACAAATCATTTTGTCAACTCAACTTGTTCTGGCAGCTGTGTAGGGTATTTATGTAAATTCTTGTACGACATTTATCACAGACGAAATTGATGAACCTGCCCATGATATATGCTCATGCAGACTTAGGGGAGCTCCTCAGCAGACAGATCGAAAGAAAGAGATTTGATAAAACATCTGTAGCAATTCCAGTTAATTTTGCATTTCTCTTAATTGGAAAATTTAATGGGATAGAATAAAGTAACTGATTAGATATATGATATATGATATTATATATATGATATATGATAAACATTTTAGCTATATAATTTAGAAGATTTAAAGAACATCTCTAGCAGTTCTAGATAAATTCTCAATATATTATTAAATTTGGATTAAATTTATAGATATTTCACCAAATCTTTGATTCCATTACAATTGAATTAACAATTTTATATATAACTATACATTCTATAGGTCCACAATGGAATTAAAGCCAATAAGTAAACGAAATGGAACAAAAGCTGACTCAAGGATTCCGCTAATAGCACTTGGGCCGCACTTCAGGTGCTCCCTTATCAGCTGTGTCTCATTTTTTCGGAATCGGAGCAAACAGTAATATAAGCGCAAACCATGTTGTTTCAGTTTTATTTACCCCGAGTTTGCCGTTAAATTAAACAGCTCGCACGCACAAGTGTTTCTTTATAGCATTATATACACAAATACACATACACACACACACACATACACATATATAGAGATATATAAGCATATGTGGAATATAAACAAAAAGGTAAAAAACAAAACCAGTTTATATGACGGTGGTGTATGTAATGCGCAAGCCACTCCAAATACATATACATACATATATATAAATTGTATTCTATGGCTACGAATCGAATAAAGAAATCGAACTGAACTCCCTTGCGCTTTACAAAAAGGGGATGACGCATGCATAATACAATAATACCGGAAATGTATCGATGCAAATCAGAGAACCGCTGCTCATTAATGTATTGTGTTCACTATATCATCAACAAAGCACAAAACATCGCAGAGCTCCAAGCAGCGGCCACAACTCAATTATAAAGTTGAGAAAATAAACAAAATAATAAACCCTTATCTCGGTATTATAATTCTATGTGCATAACTACAGCAGACGCTCGAAATCTTTGCAAGTTTTCTAGAAAATGTTTTCATTAAATACTTGAGCAGAATCTTGATTTATTCTTATGAGGCTTACGCTATACGCGTTAGCGAGTCATTACCGTACCTAAAAGATCAAAACCCCTTGATTTATGTGACTGTGATGTGAGATGCCGAAACTGTCCCCTTCCATAGCACAAAAATCGCTGTCAGATAAAGTCTCAGTTAGCTGTCTCAAGTGCCGATTCGGATCGCTCTGATGAAACCAGCAGACTGAAGTAGTAGATAGATAATGCATGCGACTAACTAGCTGTTTAACACATGTGTGTACTGCATATAATATATAGGTTATCACTATATCATTTTGGAGTCGCTCGACAAGATAAAGCGGCCTAGCCGAGACTAAAAAGGAGAGACAACCACAAGCCCAAACCCAAACCCAAAACCCAAAACCCAGACGCAAGCCAAGGCACAGGCACAGCCAATTGCGATAGTGTTGTATGTGTGTGTGTGGCATATGCCGGTTTGAGTAGAGTCTGTTTTTTTTATACCCTGTGGCTATTCAAAATGAGGGTATATATAGATAAACAGATCGAAAACAAAGATAAGAGAAAACACACTTATTTCAAATACATTTTGCACAGAGAAAAAGAATATTTCGCATAGAAAACAAAGATAAGAATAAACTGAGTAATTTCTAACGCCTTTTATCAATATGAAAGAAACCCAAGTATTTTGCACATTCATTCAAACTCTCAGAATGAAAATAAATTGAATATATGCCATAAATATTAAACATATTTGAAACATATGTGAAGCTGATTAGATTTCCATATCTACAGCTAGACATGAAATATATATTTATATATGAATGTATGTATATATTGTTTGATAGATTAGACGATTAGCTGGAAAAAATGCCAAGTACAATTTGAAGGAATCATAGATTAAGAATAATAAAAATAAATAAAAATTTTATTACTGTTCCAGTACTATTAAATTCCTATATATGAATTCATACATATTATGTTTTAAGTATATATAAATACAATACAATTTTATCTCAAATAAATTCTAAGGCAAAGAACTAAAACTATTACTAAATAGAGGGTATCTTGCAGTCAGGCGCTCCGCTAACGCAGCATTCTCGCTTGTTATTTATTTATTTCGTTTGGTTGTTAATTTTTATTTTTGGAGTGAAAGTAACTGCAAACATAGCGACAGCAACTAAATGTCTTCTAACATGTTCTCTGTTCTAGGAAATGTCGCTTGCATTAACTTTGCCATCTTCAGCTGCTGCTGTTGTTGTTGTTGTTGTTGTTTTTGTTGTTGTTTGTGACTCTGCTGCTGCTGCTGCCGCTGCCGCTGCTGCACAGAGATAAGCTAATGTTTGCCCGCCGCCAATGATAAGCGGCCTATGGCCTAAACTAACTTTTACACGTACCTTTTAGACGCGCTTGCAGCTGCTTCGGTGCAAGAGAGCTGGGGGGAGAAAAGCACAGTTAGCAAGAGAGAAGACGATGGCTTTTCGCTTTTCTGCTTTTCACATACATACACGCGCGCACAAATACACTCTTTTCTCTTAATTTTGTATATTTCTCTCACAAATCTGAAATGATTTTTGCAATTTCAATAAATTTTACTCCTTCAAATTTTCCAATTCAATTTCAAACACTTTTCACACTACGCACAATTACTTTGTTGTTTTGCGCTCGTTTTCGACATAACAATTTCGATTTCGATTTCGATTACAATTTCAACATGTTTTTATTTTCTTTTGGGGGGGCTTATGCGAGAATTTTGTAATCTAAAACAAAAACAAACGCTGCTCTCGCACTTCTCTTTCTCTCTCTCACACTTTTACACGCGCGCACACACTCACACACTTGCAACGGAACCGAAACGAACCGAATAGCTCAGAAAACAGATTTTTACGCACTATTTAGCTTTATATTTTACTGTAATTTTTCCTCGCTTGTTTTTAATACGTTTGTGTGAATATGTATGTAGGTGTGTGTATGTAGCTGGTTTACATGAAAGGGATTGGAGCGGTAAGGCGGGCCGGGGCTGGGCTGTGCGAAATTGAAGCCGAAAAAAATACTACCCGACTTCGCCGCGTCTTGACAATCGAAGCGTTTGTTTTGTTTGCAACTGCAATTTCCGCGCTCGTTTCTTTTTGTTTATACTAAAAGCGATTTGGTTGTTGTTGTTGTTGCTTTTGTTGTTGTTGTTGTTGCTACTGCAGCAAAACAAACGTTTTCTTTCTTAATAAACTTTTACGCTGCGCTATCGTTTCGTGTGTTTCTTGTTTATCGTATTTTCTTCGGTTTGTTTTGTAATTTCGTTCACGTTCTTGTCCACGGCCTCTCTGCGTTTATGTATTATGGGCCGTCCGTATGAATCTGTCTGTCTCACGCTGCGCGCCGCTCATTCATAAATCGTGGACCCGTTTGAATCAGCGACAATAACTAATCTCTCGACCCGTCTGCACGTCTGACCAGTTTGGCAAGCGGTTGCCGACTAACGGTTGCAACCAATCGGCAACGGCACCACGATCGTTTCGTGTTGCCTTCGAACATGTTCCAGTCGCTGTAAATGCAACCTCTGCTAAAGTTAACAGCGACGCGTTATGCTGTAAGCTGTTTACTCTTTGCAACTAACGGGAATTTTATTAGGAATTGAAACTAATGAAAATGGATTTTTTTCTCTATATATATTCACAATATTTGTTATGCTTTCCATAAATTGCGTACTACAAACGTAAAATAATATAAATGCTTAGTTCTTCCACTTAGAAGAACTCAATTTCATCTGTGCCGCTTATGTGAAATGAATGCACAGCTTCATAGTAAACTTATTTAGCTTAAATATTTATATCAAGTAATTCTATGTATAATAATAAACATTCATTTAACTCAATCTAAGTTCACTTCTTTACGTATAAATACGTTTAACATAACATTAACAAAGCGAACAGCGCTTAACCGATTCGATGAGCGAACTTGTTGGCTGTGGAACCAGTGAACGAAGGCGCGCGCTTTGCAACATTTGAAGCATCGACGGTTAAGAGAACTTTTCATCATTGAAAGTAAAACCGAAATGGAAAAACATCTTCCCACCTGCTGTGTTTTGTTCTGTGTGTAAATTTACACACTTTCCAATGTTAACAAGCGGCGATAAAGCAACATGGAGCGACTCGACTCGACTCGACTCAGCCAACATTGTTAGCGACCTGCGTTTTATGGGGCACACAGCTGGCCGCAAGGCAACTGTTGCAGCTCTTGTTGCAGCATCCGAGAGTTTATCGTCGTCTTAAATCATTAGTTCTTATCAGAGCGCGTCGCCTATCTGGCCAGTTTTATGACCCGGGGCTTTTCCTGCCATTGTCGAAGTGTCAATTTCCAAGAAGGCGTCTTAACACTTTCATTGTCTTAATTAGATTAGCGCTCAGTGTACCTTGGGGCTTAGTGTTTCGAGCAAAACAAATGCTCGACGAGCGCAGCAACCTTTGATATCCAAGTCGTGGCGTATCTTCAATCCAAATTTTAGCCCCATTTCATATTTACAACGTAACAGAGCAGTAGGCACTACATATTATTTTCTACTCTTGACAATAATTTTTTCGTTTTTGTTTTTGTGGGGAAAAGTTAGTTAAATCGTTGGCAATAGAATGTCGTGGATATTGCGTGTGATCAAGAAATGCTTCGCTAGCAAGAAGCTGCATGTGACCTTCTCTACAAGGACTTTAAAACAGGACCGGGAGCGTATGATGCTCAACATGGCCTCGCCCATTCCATTTCAGAATTTCCTGAACGAGGTGCGTTTGACTGCATTGGATGAGAAGGGTGTCGATCGTATGACCCTAAAGGAGTCGGCCTCGATGCGCAAGTCGGCCATACGGCTGTGGGGCAAGCTAACCGAAGAACAGAAAAATAGGTATCGCGAGATAGCCGTCAACTCGAACATTACTCGCCTCTCCCTGGCGAAGCTTATGGAGTCGAAGAGTAATCTTCACTTGCCCCATAAAATCAGCTATGTAAGGCGTATACCATCGCGGCCGCTTGTAGAAATAAGTTCGATAAGCAGCTTCAAAAGGAAACCAAGATACAGCCGGGCCCCTGCCCGGCTTTGCTCGATCGTTGGCAAACGGAAAGTGTGCTGTGTGCATGGCGTCAAGAAGCCGAAAAAGCCCAAAAAGATCGCTAAGCCGCTGAGCAAATGCTCGAAGAAATCGATACGCAAATGCAGTTCCACGATTTCGATGCCGATTGCTATGAAACAGACTCTGCCACCAAAGCCTTCGCTAACCCTTACAAAATTGGGCAAACGTCGATACAGCAAGACAGATCTGAGCGATGCTGGCTACAACAAAACTCAAAACTCAAATTTACCTGGACACATACCTCCGCAATTGGCCAATCATACGGAACTGCTTGCCCTGGCTGAAAGCACGGCCACAGAGTTGCGTCCGCTGCATGAGGAGCCCAAGCGCAGACGTCGAGTATAAGGTGTTGGTATCTGTTGAGTCCTAATTACCCTTTGGATCGCTTTCAAAATTAAATGATTATCAGATTGACATTGAACCAAGTGTTCAAAAAAATATATGGTTATTATCAAGCAAAAGTAATTGTGCTTCACTTGCAGTTCATTCACACAGATCAAACTCCCTAAACTATTCATCAGGATTAGCCGTGTCAGTCCTTCTCGTCTGCTCTCAGCTGGGAATTATTTAGTTTTCAGTTTGTTTTCTTTTTTTATGTGTTTTTTTGTCGTGGTGTGTGCTAAGCGGCGGCCACATCCTTATCAAAGGTGCGCATCAACGTCACAGAGATCCCCAACTCGAAACCAGCTACGTGCCTGCGTTCAGTCTTTGAAATCGAAACCTCTGACGATCCATTGTGTTGAAATCTAAGCGAGACCCGCGCTGCATGTTGATCGATCGCGTTTTTTCTCTTTTCCTTTTCTCCCGTCTCATTTTATTTCCAATGAAAAGCGAAGCCAGCACGAGAAACCAAAACAAAAAGATGCTACGTTGATATATTTTCGAGCATATTTTGAATAGTTTTCAATGCCAATGACAGCAGCGCTCATTGGCAGCGAGTGCCATACAAAAATATGCAAGATCTTTAATCTTGTTTTTTGTTTTTCTTCCAGCTTAGGCATAGAGAATGCATTTTAAAAAGCATTTCAAAAACATTTATAATAAAGTAATATAAACAGCGTGTGTACAGAATGTGCGTTGAATAAATATCAAAATACTATAAAATGCGTAGTCTGTTATTTCTTTTTTGTATATTCTTTATATGTTTTCATTTATTTGGGATAGTATTACATTCTGACAAATATTGCCATATACGCTTAGCATAATATTTATAAGAAGCTTTTCTTGAAACTAAACTTAATATAGATTTAACTTTATTTGTTATCAATTAAAAATTTGAAACATGATCCAACAATATCAAAATAGTCTTGCATTGGGCGCCGAGTCAGCAGAGCATCCCTTGAGGTAACATTGATGCTGAAAACGCATATAAAGCATATAATATACACCTTTAGAGCGGAAAACATCGATGGTTTACGACATTGCCATATGATTTAGGAAAAATTATTTCCCGAATTTCGATGACTTACAAATAGGGCTTCGAATTGCTAAAAGCTGTTTAAGTTTCCAGGAAAGTTTGTGGTATTGGCATCTGAAGGGGTATTAGACAACCAAAATCATCTTTTACGGAAGAGCTGCACAAATATCACCTGAAAGACCTTTTGAAGGCCTCGTAACACTTATTCATAGTCAGAAGCTATCTCATTATTACTCTTTAGAGTTTACTTGACTCTCTATGCAATGGATCTCTTCCCGATTGATGTTCGTTTAAAGACCGTCGCACGAATAGTTCACTTCGGGGAGTTCCACAGAAAACGAAACGAAATGCCGAAGCCTCTTGGTCAGAGTGAGAGAGAGTGAATATGATTTTTCTGTTGAATTCACGAAAAGCGAAATATTATAACTAAAAAGACTTTAGCTATTTAAAAACTGAATAGAAAATTTATAATTTATATTTATTAATCTACTATATATTGTAATAATTTTTATTTATAGCTTTAAGATCTCTATGACCAATCTGAGCTGCAATAAGAACCATAACAATTTATTAATCGTTAATTGCAATTTTATTGATATTAACATAATATGTACGAATAATATAATAATCAATAGTAAAACTTATAAAAATAATTATTCTGGGCTAAATAAATTTAGTTATGTGAATTTTAATATTTTTTATTAATTATGTATATTAAATACTTTTTATAGGCTATATAAATTTAATATTTTTAGTAATATTTTTACTTAATATTTTTATTAATTGTATATATTTAATAATTATACATAAGTATAATCACAATTTGTATAATAGACATTTTGTGAATACCAATAAGTTCAAGCTTTTCTTTCCTTTTAAAAATCTATAAATATCGATATGAATTTTTCGATATTTTCATACAGATATGCGATTATGTGTGTGTGTGTGTGTGTGTGTAAACGCACTTATCTTTCTCTTTTGCATAAATAATGCAAATAAAAAGCGATAAACGATAGTTATATATTAGCGCGCAGCGGGTAGCTGGCCAATAAAGTCGTACGATCGTTTGGCCTGGGTTTTCCCCCGTCTAAGCCAAGTGAAAATTGCTATAAAAAAAGGCAATGCTCGCGCACTCACTCAACGATGGCGACATCGTTCTGTTAATGGTCACACCATCTCTCTCTCTAACTCTCTCTCTCTCTCTCTCTCTGTCTGCCTCTAGATGTTGCGATCCTCCACAGTCCTGCTGCTGTTGTTGTTGCTGCTTGATACCAAAACGCATTTGCGCCATTTGGCGGCGCTGGTTGATAAGTCAAGTTTTTATGGCCGCGCGCGCATTTAACTTGATTATAAACGACCGCAGGCGGCCGGGTAATATAAAATCGCTTTTCATTATAGCCGGGGCATGTGAAATTAATATGCCAGGCCAGCCAGATAGCAGTCAAGGCAGCCAAACCTCTAAGTCAAGTTCGTTGCCTAAGTCTTTTGTTTTGTTTTGTGCTCAGCAGTTTCACTTGGTTTTTTCTTTTTTTTTTTTTTGCCGACTGCCTGCTGTGTGTGTTTGTGGCTAAACAAAATCAAAGTCGTCTCAAATGTTCATTAATTCAAATTGATTCTAATCGTGGCGCACTCATTAATCCAAGCGCCACCCCACGCATGCAGCCGCCGCACCAAAGGATCGCCAAAAGCATTTCTATTGCCTGGCGAGCTTTATTGATGAGCCGCACTTAGCAGCCGGAGCTGAGATCTGGTAGCAGCAGCAGCCGCAATTTCATGATTAATGTGGGCAATCTATGCTGGATGCATAGCTACTGTCATGTTCTATGACAATCCAAAAATGTATATATTTATATATGCTTAAAGCGGACAGGCAGACAGGTAGAAACTGTAGATTGTGCTCTGACTGCTTACTTAAGATCCTTTTTCTCCCTCTCTCT